CGGAGAATCGAAAGGCAGGTAAATAGATGCAAGGAATATGTTGCCACGACCTTGCTTCAGCACCGTTGCATCCGATGTTGATAATCCTGTTGAAAGGAGAAAACATAAGTTCTTGCGACATAAGATACATGTTCTCGGGCGAGATCCTGTATCAGCGTAGAAAAATTGGAAATTTACGTGATTTAATCCAGAAACCTTGTTGCGAATCGTCCAAGGTTCCTGGATTAAAGCTATATGTATTTTACCTGTGTTGATTTTAGCCATCAGAGCGTTGGTAGCTGTCTCGCTCCGATGGAGGTTTATTTGGATAACCTCAATCATGGTCATCCATTAAACTGTCTTCCAGCGAGTTGGTGGTCACCTCCTCGCTCTTTGGATTTGATTCCTCCGGATAGCCTGAAGTGGCTATTAATGCAGTGAGTACTGTTGATGGCACTGCAGTGTCCATATCAGGCATAGGAATAGCAGTATTTTTAATAGACACATTCCCAATTCTGGAGAGCATTGCTGTTCTGTCTTCTGGCGGGTGAGTGATTTCCTCCTCGATTTTAGGATTTGACTCCTCAACATTGCTAGTACTTGCTAATGATGCTTTGGGTACTGTCTTAGGTGTTTTACTGTCCTTGTCGGGACCGGTTTTGACAGCCCTTTCAATCGGCGCCTTCCCAATTTTGGAAAGGGCAACTACACTTTCTTCTGGCGAGTTAATGGTAAATTCCTCGATTTTAGGATTTGACTCCTCAACGTTATCAGTAGTGGATACTGATGCTGTGGTCTTAGGTTTTTTAGTGTCCTTTTCGAGGCTTGTTGTAACAGCCCTTCCAATCGGCACCTTCCCAATTTTGAATATGACAGATTTAGAGGCGAAGTAAGCCCTACCTTTATTCTTGGCAAGACTAGCCATGGATTTCTGGTCGATACCTATTACAAATAAAGTTCCCTCAGGTTCTTCTTTCCTGTAAAAGACAGGAATAAGAAATATTGAAATTGGATACGTTTTGTTATTTGCTGTATCATTTGAAAGTGCATTTAAAAGGAGAATGAAATTATAGGCAGCATGGGTCATATATTGCCCAGCCAAATATTGTACTCTGAGCTGTAGGTAACCCGACTCTAGAGAAAACACCTTGACATATCACTTTTGGATATAAATCAACTCCAATTACAATATCGATCGATTCAGATTCGTAAAATTTGGAGTCTGCTAAGAAAAAATCTTTGAAATTCTTTTTGTAGGTTGTCAACCCTAAAAGAGACTTCAAAATCATTGGACATATTGTTTCATCATGTAGTTTGTACGCAGTTAGATTTAATTTGTCGATCAACCTTTTGGACACTCTGCTAACAGGCGAACCAGAGTCTAACAAACATCGAGCATGCGACGTAGTAGACCCAATTTTAACCAGTACGGTAGGGAGGAGAATAACCTGGTTTTGTCTTATAATGTTTGTCAAAGAAGTTGACTGCTTCACCATAGGAGATTCCATTTTAGGCCTGGATGCCAAAGAATTACGTGATCTCGAAGATTTCGATGATCCTATATTTGGGGACTGCGAGCGAGAACGGGATTGTGAAGGTAGAATATCTGAAGCCAATCTAGGGTTGACGTTGAACTTGCGGCAGTCGTGCGCCAGGCAATTGGTGCAATATTTATTATCGCGAACTGCACGAATACGGTCAGAAATATTCATTGTCAAGAACTTGCGGCAAGTTCGAAGAGGCACCTTCCCAATTTTGAATATGACAGATTTAGAGGCGAAGTAAGCCCTACCTTTATTCTTGGCAAGACTAGCCATGGATTTCTGGTCGATACCTATTACAAATAAAGTTCCCTCAGGTTCTTCTTTCCTGTAAAAGACAGGAATAAGAAATATTGAAATTGGGTACGTTTTGTTATTTGCTGTATCATTTGAAAGTGCATTTAAAAGGAGAATGAAATTATAGGCAGCATGGGCCATATATTGCCCAGCCAAATATTGTACTCTGAGCTGTAGGTAACCCGACTCTAGAGAAAACACCTTGACATATCACTTTTGGATATAAATCAACTCCAATTACAATATCGATCGATTCAGATTCGTAAAATTTGGAGTCTGCTAAGAAAAAATCTTTGAAATTCTTTTTGTAGGTTTCTGGGAGCGATTGTGCTGGAGTCCGGAGTGCAATACGGTTGTCAACCCTAAAAGAGACTTCAAAATCATTGGACATATTGTTTCATCATGTAGTTTGTACGCAGTTAGATTTAATTTGTCGATCAACCTTTTGGACACTCTGCTAACAGGCGAACCAGAGTCTAACAAACATCGAGCATGCGACGTAGTAGACCCAATTTTAACCAGTACGGTAGGGAGGAGAATAACCTGGTTTTGTCTTATAATGTTTGTCAAAGAAGTTGACTGCTTCACCATAGGAGATTCCATTTTAGGCCTGGATGCCAAAGAATTACGTGATCTCGAAGATTTCGATGATCCTATATTTGGGGACTGCGAGCGAGAACGGGATTGTGAAGGTAGAATATCTGAAGCCAATCTAGGGTTGACGTTGAACTTGCGGCAGTCGTGCGCCAGGCAATTGGTGCAATATTTATTATCGCGAACTGCACGAATACGGTCAGAAATATTCATTGTCAAGAACTTGCGGCAAGTTCGAAGAGGATGTGGATTTGGATTTCGACGATGATTTGGGCATGATGAGCTAGAAAGTAAGAATGTGTAGATAAGTAAGAGATTCGAAAGCTTAAATTTATGATTCGTTAGGGAGCATTACAAGTTTGACAATTGGTCTAGTGATTAAACCACGTTGTGTCAATACATCTGCTACTCTAACTCGGTTGTCCGAACCGGAATATATTTTGACGACTCGACCAAGTCGCCAAGCATTTGGTGGGAGATTCTCATCCTTAATCACTACCAGGGCGCCAGTTTGAAGATTGACTTCGGGTCTTTTTCATTTAACTCTTTTATTCAATTCCTTTAAGTATTCGTTTTTCCAACGAACGCAAAAGTTTTGATGAATAAGCTTTAACCTTTGCCATCGGTTAGTAATAGCAATAGATGAGTCGTTCACTTGGGGATCGACTGGAGCTAAGATTGGAGTTCCGATTAGAAAATGTCCTGGAGTTAAAGCGCAAATATCGGTTGGATCGGTTGAAATAGGAGAAATCGGTCGGGAATTCAGACACGATTCAATTCTGGATAGGAGAGTGGAAAATTCCTCGAATGTATACTTATAATTTCCTGCAACTTTCCGGAAGTGGGCTTTGAAGCTTTTTACTCCAGCCTCCCACAATCCGCCCATATGCAGAGCACCTGCCGGAATAAAATGCCAAGAGATATTCTGGTGAGCATAATTGGACAATATACGCTGCTGTGAAGTTTGTATAAATTCTTTGGCTAATAGTTTCGATGCTCCTACGAAGTTTTTACCATTATCAGAGTGGAGATGAAGCGGACAACCTCGGCGTGAAACAAAGCGATTAAAAGCTGCTAGAAATACCGGTGTTGATAAGTCGGAAGTTGCTTCTAGGTGGATCGCTTTCGTTGAAAAACATACGAAAACGCAAACATATCCCTTAGATATACGACAGGCTCGGCCGGAATAGCTTTTTATGTCGAATGGGCCGGCAAAGTCTAGACCTGTGTGTGTAAAAGGACGACTAATTTCGGTTCTTTCGGAAGGCAATGCCGCCATCAGCTGTCTTTGGCATATTTTCTTGTAAAAAAGGCAAGTTTTGCACCGATTAATAGTAACCTTGATCAAGTTCTTTGCCTTTGGAATCCAATATTGTGTCCTCAACAGACGAAGTACGAGTTGATTGCCAACGTGCAAACTTACATCGTGGACAAATTTGACAAGAAGCCTTGAAAACTGACAGTTGTACGGGATGATAATTGGATGCTTTTCATTATAGGTGAGTCCAGAAGAGGACTCTAATCGGCCACAGGAACGAATTATTCCTTCTGCATCCAAAAAGGGATTTAGATTTAGAATACTACTGGATTTTGAAATGGCTTGTCTAGCAACTAGAGCTTTGTACTCATTAGGAAACCACGCCTTTTGACAAATTGAGATAAGTTTATCTCGTATGAAATTAATTTCCGAACTTGAAAGTGTTGTAGACTCTTTAAAGAAATTTGACCGGTAACGAAGATGAGTTCTGTAGAAAAATTTGTAAACATAGGACAATACACGCAACGCTCTATGAAAGGAAGAAACCCGTTCTAACAGATCCTCAAAGTTAAAAAATATGAGAAATGGACTTTCAGAGGCTTAACTTCTTGATCTGTTTCCAGAATTCCGGATAAGTCAGAACGAGGCCATTGACTCTTGACAGCCTTAAGCCAGTGTGGACCGAACCACCATAAATCATTTCCTACTAGGTCCTCGGGATAAACGCCTCGGCTAGCCAAATCTGCTGGATTCGATTCAGAATTTACGTGGTACCATTTTGGGTAATCGACTATTTGCGTAATTTTTGATACCCTATTCGCGACAAAGGTTAACCAGTGGCAAGGCGGTTTTGCTAGCCAAGACAATACTATAGTTGAATCTGTCCAGCAGAAAATGGAACAGGTTTTGACCTCTAGCGTTGAAACTAAGTTTTCGAACATTTCAGCTAATAGAAGTGCTCCGCAAAGTTCTAATCGTGGGATTGATAATGTCTTAATAGGAGCTACCTTAGTTTTGGACGAAAGGAGGTGTGTTGAGACCGCTGCGTATGCTCTTTCGGATGCATCGCAGAAACCGTGGAATTGTATTTCAGAATTTGGACAATAATCAATCCATCGAGGAATACGAATAGTATTGATAATAGGGTAGCTAGATTGGAAGACTTTCCATTGACGAAGAGCGTCGTAAGTAATAACATCATCCCAACCAGTTCCGTCTATCCATATCTTTTGCATTAGTATTTTTGCCAGGACAATGTAAGGTGCTAACCACCCTGCGGGATCAAATAACTTTGCGATTTGGGACAGAATTTCCCTTTTCGTGAAGTTTACGGATTCCGGAAAAGTATTTGCAACAAAGTAGAAATCATCCGAACACGCATTCCATCGGATACCTAAAGTCTTTGTGGAACTTTGTGGAATATTTGCTAAAATATCCTTGGAGTTAGATGTCCACTTTCTTAGAAAGAATCCAGCGGATTGCAGAGCTTGAATTAGCTCATTTCTTGCTTTAACGGAATCGGTCTTTGTATGAGATCCTGCAAGCACATCATCAACGTACATCGAATTCCGTAATATAGAACTTGCGATCGGATAAGTGGATTGAACATCATCTGCTAATTGAAGTAATGTTCGAATGGCAAGGTATGGCGCACAATTAACACCGAAAGTGACAGTTTTCAATTCATAATCACAGATCGGACTGTTTGGATTGCTACGGAATAATATTCTTTGATATCGCGTATGTTCAGGATTTACCCAAATCTGCCTGTACATTTTCTGAATGTCGGCATTGAAAACGTATTTGAAAAAACGCCATTTTAGAATAAGAGCAGTTAAGTCATTTTGTAAAACCGGTCCTATGTGGAGCAAAGAGTTTAAACTTTGGCCGTTGGATGATGGAGCAGAGGCATTGAACACCACGCGAACTTTGGTAGTAATACTATCTGGTTTGATAACGGCATCGTGGGGAATATAATATACATGTGGACTGTTCGATAGGTTGTCTGAATTAACTTTGACCATGTGACCAAGATCTTCGTATTCACGGATCACGTTATCATAATCAACTTTGAAATTTGGTGTTCGGATCAGCCTTGCCTCACTACGAAAGAACTGTGCCATGGCACAGGACCTGGAATGGCCTAAGTTCAATGAATCTGGAAATTGCTCTTTGAATGGAAGAGATACAACGTATCTTCCGTCAGCGTTTCTTTGCGTGGTACGTATATACAGTTCTTCACAAGCTTTATCGGAATGGGACTCATAGTTCTTCCTTGGAAGATTTTTCACCTCCCAAAAGCGTGAAATTTGCTTATCTAAGGAAATTTCACAGAAGTTTGAGACTATAGTAGTGGGACTTGGATTGGTTGAATGGTTGACAGGACCTGTAAGAATCCAACCGAATATGGTTTCTTGGGCCAGAAGAGAATCGCATACATTATGCTTGATTCCCGAACAAACAATAGATGGGAAAATGTCACCACCAATCAATAAGTCAATCTTCGAACTGGAATAGAATTTAGGATCAGCCAGCTGGATTTGAGGAAGATTCGAAAATTTTGAATATGCAATTGTTTGTGCTGGGAGATTACTTGACAGGTGAGGAACTACAAGAGCCGTTACCGGAATCGCAATATCATTATTAATTTGAGAACCCAATACAAAGGAACATTGATATTGGACTTTAGCAGAAACAGTTTCGTTCAAGCCAGAAATTTGGACATCAATAGACTGAGAGGGAAGTTTTAGACGATGGAAAACCCGTTCAGATATGAAAGTTCCCTCTGATCCCGAATCTATTAAGGCGCGAACTTGGTATGTTATACCCATATGACAGATATTTGCCCAAGCTGTTCCCAATAATACTCCTTTAGTATTTGAAGCAAAGCAATTTTGAACGCTAACTGAACCAGAACTATGAGTGGACGGAATATTATTTTGATTTGGATGAGTATCTGGAGCTAAGCTAGGTTTAATTGTAGAATTTGGACTTGGACTCGGGACTGGATGAGATGACTGAGGAGCATCGGCTTCCTTATGAAGAAGGGTGTTGTGTCTCTTCTTGCAATTGAAACAGTTAAGTTTACTAACGCAATTCCGCACACTATGTGTTTTTGAAAAGCAATTCAAACACAAACCTTCTCGTTTAATCTCATCTAGTCTTCGTTGATGGTCCATTTTCAGAAATTTAGGACATCTTCGAATGGTATGAGTTTCTTTAGGACATAACTGACATTTAAAGCCAGTTACATTTGTCTGAAAGCTATGAACCTTTTGTTTGGAATTCGAATTGTTGTTGGATTTAGATTTCGAATCATTGCCTTTTGAATTAGAAGAACTTCGAATTTCGGATACTGACTCTAAAGTTCTATGACGGTTGGTAAGGAATTCGTCCAGTTCGGACCATTTGGGAAGAGCAGTTTTGTCTTTTAATCCCTGTTCCCATAATGTTAAGGTATGTTCTGGAAGCCTATTCGTGCATATAAACACAAAAATCGGATCCCAGCTAGTCACGTCTATATTATAAAGAGTAAGTATGGAGATACATGAGTTGATATCTCTCTGTAACTGTTTTAATGATCTACCAGATTCTGAACTGATTGTTTGAAGGTTAAAAAGTGTTTTTAACTGACCATTTATCAAAACTCTACGATTCTCATAACGCGAACAGAGGTTTTTCCACGCTAGGTCAAAACCTTGATTGGTTAGAGGACTTTTTCGTACGATTTCTTTGGCTTCGCCTTTTGTTTTTTGCGTAAGGAAAAACAGCTTTTCGACATTGCTGGCTTTTGAGTTAGAAATGACTGCTGTAAACATGTCCCAGTGAAATCGGTTAAAGGCCAGAAACAATTGGTTAACGAACTTTTTTTTTCCCAAAATGGAAATAAAACTAAATTTCTACAAACTGTTCAAAATACTTTGAGTAGAAATCTATAATAATTTTGTAACTAGTTAGAGAAAAGAGTACTTTTTTCCACGCAAAAAAAAAATATCAAAAAGGGGTGTAATTATGAGTTAAAATATCAAAAAAAAAAAAAAAATTCAAAAAACGATGAAATTTTATTTAAGAACCAAAGTACCACAAAGTTGAATCGTATGCAAAAGTATACAAGTTAAAAAAAGCGAACATATATCTTTAAATTACTGAGAAAAAAAAGAAGACCACATAGGTTTAAGGAACTGGAACGTAAATCAGTTGTGAAACAAAGTAAATTTTTTAAAGGTCGTTCAGCTTTTACACTACTGGAAAAAGAAACCATATACCAGACGACTTCCACAATATTAGGTTCGTTCACTTATTTTGTATATGGAAAAAAAAATAAATACGTATAGATGTGAGAACCAAATCCAATTAAGACTACTAAGAATATAAACGAATCCCTTAATATTCATAAAATAAGAACAATCCAAATTTTGAAATAAATGTAAATGGTGACTACAACTTTTAAATAATAATATTGAATTAATATCAACCAAAAATAATAATAATGCAAAGAAATAAAAAAGTGTGTGAATAAATCTATTGTTTACTACCAACAAATCAATCTGTTTACTCAATACTTCCAATATATATCAGTGATTTCATAAATATTATTGGAAAGAGAATACCAAAACAACAGGGTTGCCGAACAACAATATTTCACTGCCCGATTATTTATATATAAGAAAGAAAATTAAGTTCAAAATTTAATTGAATTAAACTCAATTTCTATTTGAATCAAGAAATTAAATGTTTTAAACAACAACACCAACAGTGTTGAAAATGAAGAATAAATCGTAATTGGATATTCAATTTTTGATATAGGAACTTAAATAAACGCACTAAAACAAAACTCATATAGGAAATTGAACGTAAATTTAAGAAATAATGTGCCTTTAATATCCTAATGTAAAGTGTTTGATTTGTTATAAATTAATACAATGTAACAATCGTGTTCTATTACTTGATGTAAGTTTCCCATAATATTTTTAAATATGAATTCTCAACAAGAAGATGAATTTTAATGTTCTCGGCCTTTTAGATTATTACGACACTGCGGCAACTCTTGATTGAAAATATCTGGAGAGAACTAAAATTTCCAATGAGCAGACATACAATGATAACTGCAGCAGATCTTATGGGAAATAGGAAAGTATTTAATTGAGCTCCAGCTCTTACAATTTTACTTATTTTGCGTTTCTATTTAGGAAGAGATATTAAATCTTCACTATGGATTATTGTCTTGTAAAACGAACAGTATCGAGTTTTAAATCTCTCTTCTTTTAATTATTTTTCTACAAATATGATGGAATGATTTTATTTGTATGTAGTCACAATATTATTTGTTAGTTATAAAATAAATTTTAGTGACAGACTTTATTGACCAGTGCAAGAGATTTTAAATTAATGACTTTATAATGTGGAAGAGTACGAAACGTTTCCCAAAAAGTATACGGAAGAGAGGCTTTTAAGAGTAACAGATGTTGATAATGTTAATGTAATCATTACATTGTAATTATTTAAATGAGATATACATATCTATGTAGATGATAAGAGATGAATAAAAGTAAACAGGGGAAATTCAAAGTCGTGATCAAATACGATGATATAAATAAGTATAAGAGTGTGATAAATGAATATGTTTACGAAAGAGAAAAATAAGCTGAAAAAGAATTTATAATCGAACATACATGCATATACATATTCGTTTGCTGAAAAAATACGAAAAAAGTCAGACGGGACGAAGGTAAGCGGAAAATGGATAAATATTCTATACGGCGAATACAATGCTTTCGAATATGTTTATCAAAAAATTGCAATTTTGACTCACTTAAATGTCTCCTGATAATGATGGATGAAAATCTCCACTTTTTTTGTATTTGTGTCTTAAATTTCTTCGTTTTTTTTTCTTGGTAATATTTCGCTTTAATTTTATTAGATCTCCTTCAATATCTTATCTCCATAATTCGATGTACTTGTTTATCTCACTTGTAATATGCCTTTATTTTAATAATTTCAATTATTTTACTTTAATTTTATGTCGGCTACACGAGGTAGCATAGAATAAAAAAAATTAAAAAACAAAAAGAACAGTTCTTATGAACTGGTTTGAATGCACTTTCACTACTAAAATACCTAGACAGCAAATGCCAGAACGTACCTTAGTAATGTAGATATGTATGTATGTAAGTATGTATATAACAGCAACCACACGCACTCCAAATTGAATTCCCAGAGAGCTTCTTGTAATCTCCAATCCGGTTCGATTGGACCAAATGTTTAGTTGAAATAAGAGCTTGAAACCAGGTTGGAAATTTGTGGAATTTAATAAGCCTCTGAGCCGAAAGATTAAACAAAATAAATGTTAATTTATTTTGTTTGCTCACAAGTACCAAACCCCAGTACACAATTGTAAAAGAAAAAAAAAAAGGAAGAAATAAAAAAACAAGAGTTAGAGGTTTGGATGAACAAATTTATTGCAATGGGTAGTGGATATACCTTTCTATTTGGCTGCTACAAGAACAAGAAGAAGCCAACCAACCGTGGCTAGAAAGGAAACAACATGGCAGACATTTTCGGCCAAATTGTTCATGAGTTTTGACATCTTGTTCGAGCTTATGCTTGAATATGTAAGCTACTCAAAAGGGGGAAAATGTTGAACATCACTGTTGTTTATGAAAAAGTCGATGTAACGACTTTTGGCATAAACACTAGAGTTTTTGTGAAACTTGTACATTTTTCTAATTTTCTCAACGAAGTGTAAATATGTCTGTTAGAGTTTTTATGAAACCTTTGAATTTTAAAAGTTGTATAATTTCTAGAAATTCAACTCTTTAGCATAGTAAATTGAAAGATTTCGCAAATTTCACTATTTAGTTGACTTTCTTGATAAATTCTTTAAGAAAGTAGGAAAAATGTCAAAAAGAAACTGGCATTCTTGACTTATCTACAGTTTTTGTGAAATCTAGATTTTTTATGAATCCTTTGAATTTTAAACATTTTCTAATTTCTAGAAATTCAACTGTTTATCAAATTCAAAGATTTTGTAAAATTCACTGACCATCATTATTTAGTTGACTTTCTTGATAAATTCTTTGAAAAAATTGGGAAAATGTAAAAAAATAAAGATTTCGCAAAATAATCTGTCATTTTTGACTTATCTACAGTGAAATCGTTAAGAAAATTGAAAAAATAAATAAACAACAATCACTAAAACTTGCATATATTTCTAATTTTCTCAACGAATTAAAACTTATTTCTAGAGTTTGTATGAATCCTTTGAATTTTAAAAATTGTATAATTTCTAGAAATTCAACTGTTTAGTATAGTAAATTGAAAGATATTGTAAATTTCACTTTTTAGTTGATAAAGTTCTCAACGTATTGCAAAAAGTTCTCAACGAATTGCAAAAGATTTCGCAAAAATGAAACTGGCATTTATGACTTATCTACAGATTTTGTGAAATCTAGATTTTTTATGAATCCTTTGAATTTTAAACATTTTTTAATTTCTAGAAATTCAACTGTTTAGCATATTGAAAGATTTTGTAAAATTCAATTGTTTATTAAATTGAAAGAATTTGAGAAATCCCTCAAATATATGTTTAGTTTTCATCTTATGCTATAGTTTTTGTGAAACTTGAACATTTTTCTAATTTTCTCAACGAAGTGTAAATTATGTCAACTTTTTTAGAGTTTTTATGAAACCTTTGAATTTTAAAAGTTGTATAATTTCTAGAACTTCAACTGTTTAGCATAGTAAATTGAAATATTTTGCAAATTTCACTATTTAGTTGACTTTCTTGATAAATTCTTTGAGAAAGTAGGAAAAATGTCAAAAAATAAAGATTTCTCAAAAATGAAACTGGCATTATTGACTTATCTACAGATTTTGTGAAATCTAGATTTTTTATGAATCCTTTGAATTTTAAACATTTTTTAGTTTCTATAAATTCAACTGTTTAGCATATTGAAAGATTTTGTAAAATTCAACTGTTTATTAAATTGAAAGAATTTGAGAAATCCCTCAAATATATGTTTAGTTTTCATCTTATGCTATAGTTTTTGTGAAACTTGAACATTTTTCTAATTTTCTCAACGAAGTGTAAATTATGTCAACTTTTTTAGAGTTTTTATGAAACCTTTGAATTTTAAAAGTTGTATAATTTCTAGAAATTCAACTGTTTAGCATAGTAAATTGAAATATTTTGCAAATTTCACTATTTAGTTGACTTTCTTGATAAATTCTTTGAGAAAGTAGGAAAAATGTCAAAAATAAAGATTTCGCAAAATGAAACTGGCATTTTTGACTTAACTACAGATTTTGTGAAATCTAGATTTTTTATGAATCCTTTGAATTTTAAACATTTTTTAATTTCTAGAAATTCAACTGTTTAGCATATTGAAAGATTTTGTAAAATTCACTGAACATCGATATTTAGTTGACTTTCTTGATAAATTCTTTGAAATTTCTAGAAATTCAACTGTTTA